CACAGAGCACATGTGCTTACCAGGGAGAACAGAGAAAGGAAAGTGAGAAATCACCCTCCAGGGGGAATGACCACACCACAGTCTCTTCTTTATTCTTTGTTCATCTCACGATTTTGTGCACACATGCCCATGCGCCCAGTATAATCTTTAAGCTACTAGGCCCAGGACTCAAACTGTGGCTGGCCATGTGGGAATCCAGCGTGTTAACCACCATGCCACTGCTGGCCCAAGATCTGCCTTTCTATACACAGTGCTTAACCACTGCACTTCAGGGCCAGCACTGTAGCTACATAGTTTTTTTTTTTTTTTTTTGGGGGGGTTTTTTTTTTTTTTGGAGAGGTTTTTGCTATAGGATGCGTGCAGTCGCCGGAAAGACAGAGATAGACAGAGAGACAGAAAGCAAGAAATCACTCCCCAGGGGGAATGGCCACGCTGCAATCCCTTCTCCTCCATTCTCCTCTCGGGATCTTAGGCACTCACACATACACACCCAGCATGAATTTAAGCCACCAGGTTGGGGACTCGAACCACAGTTGACTATGTGGAAGTCCAGTGACATAGCCATTATGCTAACTGCTGGTCTCACTACATAGTCTTAAGCAAGGCACTTAACCTTAGTAAGTCTTGAACTCTACTATAAAAGGAGGAGAATGATATTATGGTAGGATTATTATAAAATGTACATGTGATAAATGTATGTAAAGCATTGAGAAAGTGATTGATAGATATTAAGCGGTATGCAAATGTAATTACTATTGCTGATGTTATTATTGTTATAATTTGTAATGTTCTATTGGGCCCTGAGGGTAATATGATTTGAAAAGGAGAGAAGAACGGGCATTCCAGGTAGGGAATGGGTGGGTGACAAGGTACCAGTGTATGTATGACTGGTATGAGAGGGGTCTAAGAATTGTGAAGCCTCAGAGGGGGCGTTATGATACAGATAGAAGGTAGCAGGAAAGGTTTGGCATAACACGGGGGTGAAAGTTTTGGTAGCAGAAACTAGGGCTGGCCCCATAGCCTAGTGGTTAAGTGAGCTGGAGCTTACATGGCCAACTTCGTACTTTTAGTCCTGCACCTGGCAGCTTGAAAAACACGCCAGGTATGCATGTGTGTGCTTGCCCAAATTCCTAAAAGGAGGAAGAAATGGAGGAGGAGGGCTTGCGGCCCAATCATACCCCATTGGAGGGTGCTTTCTTCCTCTCCTTTTTCTGTCTCTCTGTGTCTCTCAGACAAGTACATATACCCTCTGCCTCTGGCAAACTAAAAATCATACAAACATACAAACAAAAGAAACAAAAACCAAAAACAAAAGAAAAGAAAACACTGTCCTACAATCGGTGGCTTCACCAGGAGGTAATGAGACCTGTCCCTGAAAGAGTCACAGCAAAGGCTGAACCTGTGAGAGACTGTTCTTATTAAGCTCTTTTGGTTGCAGACTCTCTCAGGCCACCTTAAGGAAAGGAAAGGAAAGAGGGACTTTCTAGAAGGTGAGTAAGTCCCTCAGATCTGAGGCATCCCCCAGGAGCCATTTGGTCCCTATATTAGGTTAACTTCTCTCTCACTTCATCTGCTCCTGCCCTCCCTTGGCTGTCAGAGGAAAGCTACCTTAGGACCTTAGAGCTTGTCATACTATTTACAGGGATCCTCCTCCTGACCCCAGCTTCATCTCAAAGCTCCTCCCTGGGCATACTTTGAGTGTCAGTTCACAATACAAGCCTGTCCAAGCATTTAGGAAAACAGGCTCATGGAGGGGAGGAGACTTACTTTTTGTAGAAGGGATTCCTATATCAGACAGCAGTCAGATTGGATGCCTTCTAAGACCCAGACTGATTCAACTGAAGGATACTTGAACCTTCTGATTTTTAAAAAAAATGGGAGCATGGGACCAGCAGAGGGCATAATGGTTATGTTGCTGGACTCCCACATAGTCAACCATCGTTTGAGTCCTGGACCTAGCAGCTTGAAACTCATACCTGGCGTGTGTGTGTGCATGCCCAAAATCCAGAGAGGACAATGGAGGAGAAGGGATTGCAGTGTGGCCATCCCCCCAAGGGTGATTTCTAGCTTCTGTCTCTCTGGTGAGTGCACATGCCCTATAGGAAAAATCTCTCTCTAAAAAAAGGGGGGAGCACATCCTACAATAAAGAAATGTCTACCGCCAGTGAGAGCACGTGGTGTGCTGGGACAGCCAGACCTTCGGTGTTTTCTTCTCACTGTCCCCACATAGGTTAAACGCCTCTGTTTCTGGAGGGAAGCTATCCAAATGATCGTATTTCCTCAATATTTTCCTAATTTAAGGTAAAAAAAAAAAAGTCTGTCCATTGACATATGCATTTAAAGTAGTAATGAGTTCGTTTTTTGTTTTGTTTCTGAGCAGACCTTGCCAAATCAATGGTATGTAACTTAAAATCAGTGGGTCTTCGTATCCAGGAAATACGGTCGTTTGTTTTGTACCTTAATGAAATTCCGGTTTGAGGTTAAACGTTAGACTTTAAAACTGCCAAAGTTGTTATCTGGCATCAGTAAAAAGAGCCCTCAACTTAATATGCTTTTCTGTGTATCTGCAGTTGGAAGCGTGGGTACCTGTGAGGCCCTGCAGTCAGATTTAATCAACAAAGCCAGACCCGAGGATTGGGGTGTCAAATGGGCACATATTTAAAAACATGGGAATTCTTTGGAAACTGGTGATCTGGGGTGAAAGCCTAGTCCTCTTTGAGCCTCAGTTTCCTCATCTGTGCAGTGAGAGGATTGAATCAAATATTATCTACATCCAGAACTGCCAGAACTTCCTGTTGACTCAGTGTGGGCAGTCTCATTTAGTCAACTAGCAGGCTTCTCCCTGGCTTGTTGCATAAGCGAGCGTGTTGCAGGCAGTGAAAGGCCTCATGGCCTGGCAAGTGTAGGTCTTTGGTTTTGGCTTCCTGCGTGTTTGGGGGTTGCCTGGAGAAACATGTCCCTTGGTAAATGTCCCAGGTTTTCTCATATGAGGGAAAGGGAGTGTCCTTTGTGCCCTAGTTTTGCCACTAGGTGGTGAGAGGGGCAACAGTTAAGAAGAGTGTCAGTGTATTGAGGGGAGAGAATTTGCTCCCCAGCAGCAGCCCTTCCTCAGCTGTTCAGTTCCAGCTGCGCACTGCCTGGACAGTTCCGTAGTCAAAGCACACTGGGGAGGAGGACCTGCCCTTTTGTGTCTTGGAGGCCTCAGCTCAGCCAGCGCCCCTCCCTCTGCTCTTCCAACCAGTAAAAGTCATAGCAGCACATTTCCTTCCGGCAGAGAGAGAACCAGAGACCCGAGGCTAGGGCCAAGCCCCAGCGCACCATGTCCTGTTCTGGAGGGCCTCCTCCAGCTGCCTTGAGCACCTCTGGCCCCGTGCTCCTTGCTGGGAGGTCAGGCAGGACTGAGTGCTGGCTCTGAACGAGGATCTGACTTGGATTTGTGCCTGTTTTTTTTTCCACTGGTTTGCTTTAAATTCTGAACGAGATGCCCTCCCTGGGTATCTTACCTCTTTGAGCCTCTGTTTCCTCATCCATCATACTTTCACTTTGTTAATAATGTTGAGTACTTTTTTTGTTGAATTCTCCCCCTCTGCAGACACACAGAAAACACAAAAAGAAATGTAAAGGATCTGTTGGCCTCCACTAAAATTATTTTAAGAAAAGACTGTCTCTCTGGTGAGTGCACATGCCCTATAGGTGTGTGTGTGTGTGTGTCTGTGTGTGTGTGTGTGTGTGTGTGGAGCATATGTAGAACACCCGGCCTGCAGGTGTTAGCCTCCTTTTCCTCTTTGCCCCTCAGATTGAAGTGAACTCATGAGTTCCCTGGGACCCACTCCTTGGAGGAAGCCCAGCCCACCTCTGCCTGCTTTGGGAAGGTCTCAGTGCTGAGGTGTTTTCCCCATAATCAGTTGACCAGGTCAACTCCACGGGGGTTGGGACTTTGTGCTCGTCACAGGACTGCATCCCCACAACCTGCCCAGAGGCACTTGCCCTAGAATAGTGCCAGCATGGTTGTGATAGCCACTCACAATGTCGATGTTAGATAAACACAAAGGTGGTGTTTGGTGGGGCTTTGAAATATGCGTAGGATTTTAATAGGTGGAGACCACTTGGGGAACATTCCAGCAACGGGACTGGCATGAGTGAAGGTTGAGAGGTGGGAAAGGGCCACCGCATAATTGGGGAAACTCTGAGTAACTAGTTTGGCTTGAGTGGAGAGGGCAAGCATGCTATTTCTGTACTTGTTTGACTAGTTTTTGTGTCCAACTCTGCACCTCACACACAGGCCCTCTGAAGAGGATTATTTACCATGCAGACCTAGGACAGAAATGCTTTGCTTCTTTTCTTTCTTTCTTTCTGCCAGAGGGTGCACACATTGGTCAGAGAGAGAAAGAGAGAGGGAGGGAGGGAGAGAGAGGCACCCTCCCCCCCACCCCAATGTGGTTATACTGCAATCCCTTCTCTATTTCTCCATCTTCGGATTTGGGACGTGCTCACACATGTATACACCCAGCATGTTTTTCAAGCTGTCGGGGTCAGGATTTGAACCATAGTCAGCCATGTAGGATCCAGCTCCCTTAACCACTAGGCCACAGGGCTAACCCAAGAATGCTTTGTTTTGGTATATAATGCAGACTCTCAGTTTCTACCCCAGAGAGGCATGGTGACCCTGGCTAATGGAAGAGTAGGCCCTCTAACACATTGTCTCTCTGGCCTATGCCTCCCTTAACCACTAGGCCATGAAGCCGACTCAAGAATGCTTTGCCCCTTGACACATTGAGGGAATAAGCACTTGAACCCAGTGTCTCTCTGGCCTAGGCCTCCCAGGGAGGTGGACAGCCTTTCCTTTCATCACAGTGCATTTATGAATAAGGAATTGCGAAGGGAATGGCAAGGATAGAGGGCAGGGGGAATGGAGGTCCAATCAGGCTGGCGGCTGGGGCCAAAGCCAGGGCCTTTGCTTCTCTTGGCACATCTGATGGGCCCTGCCCTCTGCTCCACAGGCTAGAGGAAGTCCCCCTGGAGGTGCTGAGGCAGAGGGAGTCCAAGTGGCTGGACATGCTCAACAACTGGGACAAATGGATGGCCAAGAAGCACAAAAAGGTGAGAGGCCTGGCCTTGGGCTGGAAGTTGGCAGCCTGGGGAGGAGGAAGTAGAGGAAGGAGCTTCATCAGCTTAGGAAAGCAGGGACTTTTCCAGCTGCCAGTATTCTTAGGTGTCTTCCATCTGCCAAATGCAGAACAGAAGTTGGCTGGAGGGCAGGTTGAAATTTGGGGCCTCAAGGACCCAAGTGAAGGTTGGGCCCTCATAGATGCCTTTAGACCCATGCAGAACTTTGTCCTGGAGTTAACTTTAAAACCACTCTTAGCCAATAGCTTTCCTCTTGCCCTCCTGGGAGGGGGGCCTTAGGGCTGTTTATCACCTATCTGGGAGGACTTTATAGTACTAATAGCTAACTGCAGGGACTGTGCAGCGTGCTGTGCGCTTGACTCAGATAATCCCTGCACTGCCCTGGTGAGGTCAGTAGTAGTGGTATCTCCATTTCGTGGATGGCCCGCAGAATCAGGATTTGAACCCAGGCAGTATAATTTTAGCACCTGCCCTCTTAACCACCACAGTAAGGAGCTGCCTTCATCCTCTAGATTAATTCGATTTCTTCCCTCTCGCTTCCTTGCCAAAGTAAAAGGAAAGAAAAGTAACCTCACAGTTTGAGAGTAGTCTTATAAAAATAAAAACACCCTGTTTTGGTCAAGCCAACTTTTGGCACTAGCTCTGTCATCCCACGTGACCCTCCATGCCCACCACTCTTCAGAGTGTGCCGATGTCCTTGGCCGCCCTTGGCAAGGCCTAATTTACTCTCCTGCCTGGAGGAGGCCTGCCTGGAGCTTTACAGCTGGAGTCACTCGGCACAAGTTCCCAGTCCACAGAGTGAGTCCCACTGCCCCCCATTGTCAGCTGACACGCTGGGCTAGTCCAGCTGGCTGCAAGGCCTATAGAAAGCTCAGGACTGAAAGTCAGGTACAGGCTGGGACCACCCTGCTCCCTTTCCCTCCATGCCTGTGGCTAACGTGTGACTCTGGGCAAGCCATTTGACCCTCTCAGCCTGTTTCCTTGATCAAGTGGGAGTCAAAATTCTATTGTGAGGCTTCCACAAGGCAGTGGCTGTAAGTGCTTCATAGGCTGTAAAACCCTGTGCCCTGGAAAGAGAGGCTCATCCAGACCTGGGCCATTTAATGTAGGCTTTGGGGGCACTCATTTTATTTTTTTTTGCTTATTAGAAAGTCTCTATTTTTCTAAGGCAGTTATTTCCCAGTCGCTTCCTGCCTGACTTGGTCTGTTTCCCTGATTTGCCCACTGTCCACCAACCGATTCTCAGCCTCTTACCCTGGGCTGTAGCTTGCACTCCAGCTGCCTGTGGTAGAGACTGGAGATCAGTCTCTGCAACAGGGACTGTGGCTCTGGCCTTGCCCCAGCCTCCTTTGTAAGTGGGGGTTCCAGAGGGGAGCCTTGGCAAGCTCCTTTCAGCAGATCAGCCCACAGCATTTCCTCTTCTCTGCTTCGCTGGCACTGTGGTTAGAGCTCCAGGACTGCCCCTGCCTAGCAGAGGCCTCCACAGAGTGCTTTACCCGCCCTAGCCAGAGGCCCTAACCCACTACAGGGTGTCCCCTCTGTCACCTTGGCTGTAATTACACTGGGCCCTGTCCTGGGAGTTTTTTCTGCCCGGCTGTGGTGGCCTGCTCAGGAAGAACGATACCTGTTTCAGGAAATGGGCTCAAACCCAACACTTCTGGGCTTATCCACAGACCTGCTGGGAGGGTGCCTTCCTTCCCTTCTCCCAGCTGTGTCCAGGTCAGAATGCTGGGCCTGCAGGGAGGCAGGGCTGTGGCTGGAATGTTGTCTTCTGTGTAGGGCCGTCCCTTTCCAGACCTCAGCAAGCCAGGGTGTGGCCTCACTTGGCTGTCATCAGAGACCTGCCCCCCCTTCGCCTCAGCAGACGGAGTAACTGCTTTCTGCTAGTGCTTTCTCATGCTTTCTCCTTACAGCTGCCCACCATCCTGAAGCAGGCTGGGTAAGAGACGGCCATCCTCAGCACAAAGGTGCTGAGGACACGAAGCCAGAGTGGATTGGCTATACTCCTGCTCTGACGTGCAGTGAGGACAGAGCCTCTCTGGGAACCTTAGTGGACTGAAAGTGTGCCAGGGAGCAGAGGCTAGGGGGTTGTAGTGATGTGGGTTGGGAGGCTGCCTTGTGCCAAGCTTGGCCCTGCAGGGAGCTTAAAGGGCCTATGGCTCTGGGCTCTGCTATGTCCCTTGACCAAAGCCTGCTGGTTTCCCTAAGGAGCCTCTTATCCCATGCAGCAGGAAGCCATTCCCAGAGTCTAGGGCAGTTCCCTTCCTCTCCCCCTTTTCAGGCAGGCCTAAAAGCTCCACTGGTCCCAGTGGCTCCTGGGACCAGCCACTGCTGTTCTTTCTGCCCTCAACCTGTCTCCTGTCTGCCTGTCTCCTTCCTGGTTCTTGACTTCTGACCCTTGGAAAGTTTTCTCCTGTTCACACTGGTTATCCGGAAGGCCAGGCCTCTGTGCTGCCTCTGAGACCTTCTCCTGGGATGTACGAGGGGGTTTCCAGGTGAAGGATGTTCGGTGGAGCCCAGGCCCTGGCGCTCCTGTGTCAGGCATCCCCCTGGCATGGAGGGTGGGAAGAAGCCATGCCTGCTGAAACCACTAGTGTCCGGCCCCGGGCTG